TATAAACCATGGTTTATAACTTGAAAATTATGGTAACTGACACCTAAGGAAGACCTGTGTCCAAAACTAGTAGTTCTTTAAAATGTTTTTATTTCTGAGATGTTTTTAGGGTATTGTATAATCTTTATATAAAAAATCGTTTGAAAATGCCAGAAAGCAATGTTTATTTTCATCAACAAAGATTCAGTAGTTTTAGTGGTCTTGTGGAAATCTGTAGAAGAAAAAAAAAAAGAAATGTAATAACTTAGCTTGTTATAGGTTTCATACTATTTTTTGTGTATGTGATAAATTTTCATGTACAACAATTAAGAACAGAAAAAGTAATCCTATAATATTTTACCCAAAGTCTTAAAAATCCAAAACAAGCAGAAAATATTAAAATCAATCTTTAGAGAATAACTGAGTTATCACCATGGTGATTAGTAAATTATCAAATTACACTAACTACTCAGCTCTACACATAATGCACAGATCTAAAGATTCTTCCCAGTCTGATTTTAATGAAACTTCTACTTACGAATTGTTTTTCACATACTACACAATAGTATAGTTTCTTTCCAATGTATTATCCCTCATGCAACTTTTGATCAATATTTATTTAGTTTTTTTTCTGAAAGGTTCAACAATTGTATTTTTCTTTCTCAGTAACTATTCTTCAATGTATTTTTAGGTCACTGTCTTTTACCAAGTTTTTGCCATAGATTCCACAACTCTATTATGTCTCTCCAATATGTATTTTTTAGATCAATGTTTCTTCTAAACTGTTTTCCAAACACTACACAGCTGTACAGTTTCTCCCCAATGTGCATCTTCTCTCCTCATGCGTCTTTAGTTGGCTATTACGTACAAACCTTTTACCACATACATCACAACTGTATGGTTTCTCCCCAGTGTGTGTCTTTTCATGCATCTTTAGGTACCTATTACTAATGAAACATTTTCCACATACAATGCAACTGTATGGTTTCTCCCCAGTGTGCGTCTTTTCATGCATCTTTAGATACCTATTACTAACAAAACATTTTCCACATACAACACAACTGTATGGTTTCTCCACAGAGTGTCTTTTCTCATGACTCTTAAGGTACTTGTTACATACAAACCTTTTCCACAAACAACTACATTTGTATGGCTTCTCCACTGAGTGTGACTTCTCATGAGTCTTTTGGTGACTTTTAGTTATAAACTGTTTTCCACATACAACACAACTGTATGGTTTTTCCCCTGTGTGTATCTTCACATGACTCTTCAAGTATCTATTACTGACAAAATGTTTTCCACATACATCACAACTGTATCGTTCCTCCTCAGTGTGTATCTTCTCATGCATCTTTAGATAGCTATTACTGACAAAACGTTTTCCACATACATCACAACTGTAAGGTTTCTCCCCAGTGTGTATCTTCTCATGACTCTTTAGGTACCTATTACTGGCAAAATGTTTTCCACATACAACACATCTGTATGGTTTCTCTACAGAATGTGTCTTCTCATGAGTCCTTAGGTGACTTTTAGTTATAAACTGTTTTCCACATATAACACAACTGTATGGTTTTTCTCCAGTGTGTATTTTCTTATGAACTGTTAAGTAACTTTTAAAAAGAAATTTTTTTCCACATACAACACAACTGTGTTTTTTTTCCCCACCATGTATCTTCTCATGTTCTTTAAGGTTACTGTTTCGTTTAAATTCTTTGCCACATACTGAGCAACTGTATGGTTTTGACCCATTGTGTGTTTTATGATGTCTATTTAGCTCACTCTTTGTTTTAAAGTCTTTCCCACAAACAGTACAATTGTGAGGTTTCTCACCATTGTCTCTTTTCTGATGTATTTGTAGTCCATAACTTGTTACAGCTCCACAACTGTACAGTTTATCAGCATCTATATGGGGTGTGTCATGTGGTTTCATATTAATTCCTTTTGAATATTCTTTCACATCACTGTTGTTTTGATTCTGAGATTTGCCTGGTTTTGTTTTTGTAGAGGGATCTTGTACTATAACGTAACCAGGAAACTGATTTCTGCAAAAGCTGTTCTCAATAATCTTTAAATCTAGAATCAAAACATACACACAACAGATATAATAAGTGAAAATATTTTTGTCTAATGTCACTTCATGCATAAAAATTATACTTGTTTTGAACATCTACAAAATGCAAAGAGAGAATCAATATTTATGAGGCCATACGTACATTTCTTTCTTTAGCTTCTTGAAATACTTCTTTCACTTTCACTTTTAACAAACACAAACAATTGTGATAGGTATAATCATTTTACGTGTACCAATATTTTTAATTAATGCAAAAATGCAAATACACTAACTTTTTTGTGAGACTCTACAGACACTAAATTTATTATGCTAATTATTCTACAGACACTACATTTCTTGTGCTAGCTGCTCTAAAGACACTATTCTTCTTGTGCCAATTAATTTACAGACACTACATTTCAGGTGCTAGTTTCTATACAGACACTATATTTCTTATGCTAGTTACCCTATAGACATTATATTTCTTATGCTAGTTGTTCTACAGACACTACATTTCTTATGCTGGTTATCCAAAGGTACTATAAAAGTAGGCATGTAACGATATATCAAAATATGATGTATTATAATATTTTATAAAACAATATGATACATAGTTTATATATCATGATACAACAATAAAAATGCAAAAGTATGTTTTGATTGTTAATCTGTCACAGTTGTTAACCTACATATGGTAAAAGACTCATCTATACATGGTCAAAGAACTCTGAATTTCAAGTTCTTGGTTTTCACCTTTAATTAACTGATTTTCACTGCTTGCTACCACTTGTTACATGTACAAATTGCATACTGGGATAAACAAGGTGCAATTTATGTAAAAACACAGGATCATAGTTGTATGTAACTAGATACAGAATAAGTTCAGGTGAAATAGCTGTTCTGCCACTGAATTAAAAATTCATCATACAGGAGCTCAAGAATATGAAAGTTAACACATATCTCACTTTGGGTAATAAGAGAAATGACAGTGAAGCAATGGATCATAACATGATGTCCCAGATAAACGTGACAGATAATGACAGACCTAGTGAACTGTAAGCATATAAAGAATATTAATGTGGAAAAGGACTCCTTTGGAAGTTAAACACGAGAAGCAGTGAAGAAATCTAGAACCCCACCCTAACTGGCAAGAGAAATTAGTGAATGATGGAAGACTTGGCAACATGGAAGAAGATGAATGCTCTGGTTTATATGGGAACAATCAAGCCACCTCAACAGTAAGAGATGAAAAGATGAAGGGACAGAAATAAAATAAGTCAATGAAATACTGGACATATTTGACTGCACTGTCGAAGTCAACTAAAGGGATATAAATGGACACATTCAGAGGATGTTACATAACTTGATATCCAAACTATTTGGAAATAAAATGTTATCACATGAGATAAATAAGATACATACACACATTTATTATCATTTAATCCCCATGAAATTATTAATTATGACAAAGTTAACCTTAGATGGCATAATGTTGTTGCTAGTAGCAATACTATATGTTAATGGGAGGAAAAAACTATTTGCTAGTGTCTTCAAAAGTTAAAGTCAAGACCTGTGTTAGAAGTATCATTATCATTATATAGAAACTGTGACAGCTACAGGCAACAGTACTTATAATATATAAAACAGTAACATCACTCATAACTAAAATTTATTATTTAGTATATTTTCTAAATTATCTTTATTTACAAAAAGAATTACAATGATTATATTTTTGTATATAAAAATATATTTTCTGAATTCATTGATGATATAAACAGCATACTAGGTTACACTATATAATTAAGCATCACCAGGCAAGATCTACAATTAACTTTGTGTTATTTTGTAGTATATCTAGGAAATTAACAAAAGAAATAACAAGAGATAATATAATTCAGTGGAATACTGTCATACAAAATAATTTTTCCTATTTTCTTTATTATTCTGTCGTGTATTAGTCATGATTTACTATTAATGTTAATCTCTCAAACAAATAAACTTTGGCAAATTTCACAAGTATTATGAAAGAAAAAGACATATTTTATCACTGCCTTATGATCACAGGTTTAGGCCAATCATATTTTGGCTTAAATTAAACATTTTCTATCTTTTTATATTGATATAGCATTATTCTAAATTCATCAGTAATTCTAGTTTGTGTAGTTTTCACATAAAAAGTGGTAAAAAAAATCATTAAACTGATTTCATTCTAGCTGCCTTTATTCCTTTATCGTTTTCTTGAGATAACATCAATGTTCTCCAATGGTAGGTCAAGTGATGCCTCCAGCTTATAACCTACTTTCTATTTCAGTGAAATTGACACAGGTGGTGCACATGTTCTGATAACAGAGCATTAAAGAATTTGGTATACAATACTATGATCTCTTAGTTAGCTCTCTTTCTCTCAAGCCCTCAGTTTGGTTAGAGAAGTATAACATCATTCTTTAAATAGCAATATTCTGCTAGAGTTTAAGCTGTTACCTAGTTTTTGATAGTCATCTTTATAGATTACTAGAAGAGTTTAGAGAAATAACTATCAAGTAACGGTACTGTCCTTTGTCCTGTATATATATATATCATTTTAATTATCTTGAGTTTAAATAAAGATTTGTTTTCTCTGCATATGTATATGATTTATCTTTAAGATACTTATACGTACCAGGTTTCTTTTCTAACCCAGAACCAATTTGTTGAAAATCTTCAAGAAATTCCTTTTCTTTCTTCATGTTCGAAACATCCTCTTTTGAGCCATCTAGTTCACCATCATCACTGAACTTAGAAGTAAAGTCATCTTGTTTTGAATCATCAGATTCATCAGTTTTTACCCTGACAAATATGTTCTGAAAACAAATATCAATAAAACAATAACTAGTATCATCACTAAAGGAGACAATCAAATAATTGTATATAACCTCCATAATCCACTTAATTTGAAACATGACAACTGGCATTTGAAAGCTGTGAAATTGCTTCCCAAAAGTTGCTTCTGGAGATTTATTGATAGAAAGTTTAAGTTGAATAAGAAACATTAATAATAGCAAAACTTTCTGTTTTTCTATTACACAGCATGTGTTACAAGTTATTATGTTAACAAGACGAAATCTGATAAGATTCATGTTATAATGAAAAATATTTAAATGGTAGAAATTCTGGGTGCAAGACAAGCAAACACATTTCAAAATTCATCCCAGAAACCATTTATTCACCTATACAGTAATGAAAACACAACAACATAAACATTTAATATTTTAAGATAGATCTCCAACATTCCAATGAAAATAATACAATAAACTTTGTCTTCAGAGTCTAAATGAAATGATACTGCAGTATAGGATGGTACCACGTGTTTTATACTGCACTGGCTAATATGTAAATGTTTTTGAATATTCTGCATTTTACAGGACTTCCTCATCCACTTATTAACAGCAGAGTTCCGGTTTCTTGCATGAAATAGAAAGTTGTATTTTCTTTCAGTAAGTTTAATAATGGCATGGGGCCTTGCCATCCCCAGCACTCTGAGCATAAATGGATGGAGGTCATGCACAGAATAACATTTTGTGTGCAAACCTGGCTGGTGATGTTACTGACTGTTTTGTACTAAAGCCAAGTTGTCCTATTTAGGAGATTTTACAGAGATTTTGATTAACTTTTAAACCTAGACTTCACTTGGAACTTTATTTTTGACATTTAATATATACATGCTCCTGGTCTTTTCATTTACTTTTCCTTTAGAGCTTTTGTGAGGTTATGTTATAATTTGAAATTTGTGTTTTAGTAGAATATTTTATCCAAAAACAGAGCAAGACATTGATTTATCTTGACTTTGGGGTTTAAATACTACATGATTAACTTGATTTAATCAAATACTTATAAGCATGGATTATGTCATGTAAAATGGTTTAATAATTGAAATTACAATTAAATTGCATAATTTCACAAAAGTAATTGACTACATGAAATTAGTCTTTTTGATTGTGCCAATTATCCAAGTAATTGAAATACTACCATTATGATTTCTCAAAATTCAAGGTTGTTCATCTTAATCAAATAGTGTCATGATTCACAAAAAATAATCAACTAATTAAAATCGGTGTTTATGTTTAGAATTATTTAAGTTTACTTCAACTATCCAAGTCTCACTTGAGAAGTTAACATTTTTCAACACTGAAAACGTATTTCCAATAGATACCTCTTCTTACATATTAGCTTTCCTTGAATTATGCACAATTGTTTGTTCCCCACTAGCTTTTAGGCTCCTACCAAAACTCGTGTTTCCACGTCGTATTGCTGTGCTAGCATGCAACAACCCTTCACCAATCGGAGTGCAAC